CAGTGATTTTTAAATGGTGTGCCTGGAGAGTTTTTAAAACATGTAATACCTGACTAATCTCTTTTCCCTTAGATTGTCAAAAAAAAAAAAAAATGACAACAGCCAACACAACAATAGCCATATGATATGAATGCTCAGTATTGAACCATAAATATATAGGTTATATAACAGAGTTGCATCTTATATCATGTCACATAATAAGTTTGTGTCTGATTATTTAATTCCTGATACTAGAAATCCTTATATCCAAGTACAAATACCTGATTTTAAAAAAAAGTTACTTTGGAGCAAAAAGGGTAGGTAATTACTCTTATTATATTTTTGTAAATCAGTCAAAAGTATACCTATTTTTTTTTATCAGGCCTATAAAAAATATAATATATTTTTTGGTGTGCCTCAGAATTTTAATTATTAGTTTATGTATGCCATAAGATGAAAAGAGTTGAAAATCGCTGGTGTGTAAAGCACTTGCCCATATATGTGATCACATTTTGATCTTAAATCTTGTGGTTTCCCTGTGAGGAAGACTGTCAGATAGGGTTAGTCCTACTTACCAGCTAAGGGAACTTTAGGCTCAGATTGGGAAGGGAGGCAACTTGCCCCCCAGGCCACCCATACCCTAAATGGCAAAACCAAGATGGCTCTAGAGTGGAGCTGTGTGCAGAGGACGGTCCTCCCTGCTTTCTCTGCCTACCATGCCTACCTGTCCTGGTGAAATCTGGTTAAAATGAACATCAAGAGCAGCCCCTAAATGGAGACACCCAGGCAGGGCAGATAGATGAGGTGTTGAGATGGGGAGGATCGCTCTGGGGCTTTGCTCGTGTGTGTATATGAGCTGCAAGGGGCAGCATCTCCCCCTCCTCCTCCAGAAGCTCACTCTCTTGGGCAAGGACTCTCCCATCCTGAGTTCCTAGACCCAGGGGGCCGTCTTTCAGTGTAGTAATAGGGGCCCCAGAGCGATTAGCAATATTTCAGAAATCTTAAGGGAGATCATACATCTCCCCATGACAGGCCTGCCCAGACTAAATGAAATGTCATTTCTCTGCTTTGGCTGGAATTCCGTCAGCTCAGTCTGGCTGCACTGCTTATCTTGGGCTGATCAGGAGCCCTGATTGGACCTTATATGCATCACTGACAAATAAAAATGAATTATTAGTTTAAAAATGCAATTGATTTGGCAAACGCAGCCTTTCAGAGTGTGGTTCCATGGAGTGCCAGAGTACCTAACAGAAAGGGTTCTCAGGGCACAGTGGTGGGGACTTGCTGGTTTTCCCAGGACCAGCTCAGGCTGGGCCCCTTTCCGAGGTGATAGGAAGTGGTGGCTCTGGGACACCTGACATATCAACCTGAGTCCGAGAACTTGACGTGGGGCAAAGTTCTGCCCCAGATGCCAATAGACACTGAGTACTGAGCATTTATTTCACCCAAGGAAAACGTTGGGAGCTGGAGAGCTGGTGTAGTGGCAGGACATAGTGTGACATAGGATTAGTGTCAGGGCTCTAGACAACCTCTTTAACCCCAGTATCTCCATCTTTTAAAAAGGTGCAATGATGCCCAGTCTGCTGCCCTCCCAGGAGTGTTATGAGAAACAAGTAACAACAGGGACACTGACAAGAGGTCACTAGGTTCCAAGCACTGGGAAGTTGTCATTAACCTCTGCAGAGTGTTATTGGTATCCTTTCCATTTACTGAAGCTGAGAGTATAAAGTTACGGAGTTCAGTTGAGGAGTGTGGAAATCATAGGGAGCAAGTATTCTATCTAATAAAAGGGTAATATGCAAATTAACCATCACTTTGTCAAAAAGATGGCGGTGCCCATAGCCACAAGATGGCGGTGCCCAGTCCTCTCAGCTCCACTGGAGTCCCCCAGTCTGGGGGGAGGGTGGCTGCTGAGAACGGGCAGCATGAGTGGTCTTGGGGGACTGCCTTTGGGCTGCAGAGAGTCTTTGGGCAGCAGGCGTGGTATGGCTAGTCCCCCCCTTCCCCCCCCAGAGAGCTACTGGCACACGGCTTCTGCCAGGGTTTCAATGGCCCTACATGCCCAGAGGCAGGGCATTGGAGTGGCACTCCAGGACTTAGGATTGTCCCTCGGTGCACCGGCCTCGAGGGGCGGGACTCCAGACTCAGACTGGAAGGGCAGAGCCTGGAACCATGGGAAGGAGTGCAGGCGCTGGCCCTGAGGGTAGGGGCATGGCTTTGGCCTAGCCCAGAGATTGTGGGAGGAGTAAACTCAGGTACAGGAATTACTAGAGTTAAAACCAGGGACATGGGCACAAGGGACAGATATGGAGTCAGCAGAATGAGAGTGAATACCAATAGAGAGGAGGAACCATGGAGTAGTGTATGCAAGGACATACCCTGAACGTGAGGGCGCACTGGGTCCATAGGGTGTAGCTTTGCTGCCCTCAGAGGCATCACAAAGAAAGTCTTGCTAGAGGAGGTTTGAACCCAGATGGAGGGCAGGGGCAGGGCCAAGTTACCACGCAGGCGCTCAAGACCATGGAAGAATCTCTGAGCAAAGCTGAGTTGCTCTCAGGTGGCATGGCCAGGGCGTAGCTTAAGGTGTTGTTGGGCGGATGGGGAGTGTAATGTGAATAAGCAAAATGACGTGACCAGCATGAGGGGTATTGCGAGGTGTAAGGGGCGTAGGCAAGATGGCCACCCACATGAGCCTTATCCCAGTAGCAAGTGCAGGGATTTGTGCTCAGAGCATTTGGTTAAGGTCCCTTGCTGCAGAGGGCAGGGGTGAGGGGTCCTGGGACTTGTATGATATCGCATGATGGGCTACTAGTCCTATATAATAAAACCCTAATATGCAAATTGACTAAACTCCTGAACGACTGATTGCCTTGATGTGCACTGACCACCAGGGAGCAGACACTCAATGCAGGGGCTGCCCCCTGGTGGTCAGTGCACTCCTATAGGGGCAGTGCCACTCAGCCAGCAGTCGGGTTCATGGCTGGCGAGTGCAGCAGCGGTGGCAGGAGCCTCTCCCCACTCCACTGCAGACAGGTGGTAAGGAATTAGGGGTCCCAGACTGTGCAAAGGGGGGATAGTGCCTAAGCTGGCAGGTGGACATCCCCCGAGGGGTCCTGGATTGCTAGAGAGTGCAGGCCGGGCTGAGGAACTCCCCCTGCCCTCAGTGCACAAATGTCATGCACCGGGCCTCTAGTAGAAATAATAGTTATGAGAAGACTGTGGGCTCACACCTGGTTTGAATTCTGGCTCTATTCCTTTCTAGCCATGTAGGTTTGGGAAAGTTAAACCTCAATGTGTCTCTATTCCTCATCTGTAAAATGGGGGTCATAATTGTACCTTCTTTTGTGGATTTTTCATAAGGATGGTAGCTATGGTTATTAAAGTAGGGTTATTCTTGATTTATTTTGGGCCTGATTGTAATTGATTTGGATTCTGAGGTGATCAATGGGGTCAGGATGAGCCTCAGAGGTAGGAACCACGGCATCTCAAAAAACCCAGAGAAACAAAGGTCTCATTTATGTTGAAGACAGAGTCCTATATTCACATGTTTGGCCTGTTACAGGCAAGTGGATGCATAATAGAACCAGTGTATCATATGTAAATTACACCACAATAAAGCTGTTTAACAAAATAGAGCCAGTCCCTGCCACCTTTGGAGTTTATCATAGAGCACTAGATGGTCAGCAATTAAATAATGACATAAATTGTGCTGTAAAAGTAAAGTACACCATTCTGTGAGAATATATGGTAGGAGAACATCATTGAGTCTGGGAGATCAGGGAAGTTTTCCCCAGGGAGGTGATGCTGAGCTGGGGAGAAAGAGAGGAGTGAACCAGGTGAAGGGGAGAGGGGAAGGATGCTTCTGGCGGAGGGACTATCTGGCAAAGGCCCTGAGGTAGGAAGGCGCGGGGACCTTTGGAGAGGAGGAAGAAAGCAAATATGGCTGGAGTGTCAATGTGCCAGATGGGACCAGGGAAGGAGGCTGGACTTGATCATGCAAGACTTTGTAGGCCAAGGAAAGCAGTTGAGTCTTTATCTTAAAACCCTAATCCTGTGTTCACCAATGAGCCCAGCTCCTCTCCTCTGGCTAGGATATGTTTGTTAGTAACCAGGGGGTCTAGCTGAGGCTGAGAGAAATATCAAGGGCAGTGTGTCCTGGGACGTCAGGTGTCTGGGTTGAGCATCTCTTTGTCCATGGAAACCCACCAGCACACATTCCATGGGCCCAGGTCTGGCTCTATTCAGCAGCTGTTTTCTAGCTGGGGAAGAGGCTTTTAGCTTTAATAAAAAGGGAGTAGAGATAAGAAGACGGCCTCGGCAGGGAAAGCAGCACTGACAGGATGATTTAAACGGCCTCTCCAGTGTCATTTCTTCTGTGCAGACATCATAAATCAGATCAGCATTGGGCTCTGAAAAGGGGGGGGGGGGGTTGTGATGAAAGGGGCCTGCAGGGAGAGGGTAGAAGGGCATGTGATTCTGGGTCCTCCTGGGGACTGGCCAGGGACGGGTGGGGTCACCTATTTCCTGATCCTCAGTCCCTTAGCCTTACTCTTTGCAGGAGGGCAGGTGGACTGACTCCAAACCAGCTTTCCAGCCCATATTCAACTTTGGGGAGAAAAGAGAAGAGAGACTAAAAAAAGAAATAGGGAGGAGTTGAAGGGCTGGTGTAAGAGGTGGGTTTTACATCCATCAGAAAAACTAGACACAGTGGTTCTTCTACTTTGCCATGTATTAAAATCATCAGGGGAACTTCAAATAAAATACTGATGCCTGGGTACCACTCCCAACATTTCTGGGTTCCAGGTGACTCTGATGTGCAGTTAATGTTAAAAAGAACTGGATGAGAATTTAGCTTCTAGCTTACACTCAAGAACTTTGCAGTGTTGAGCCATCACTTTCACCATGACTGCTCAGACCCACTTGTCCCCCTGGTTTTCCTCTTGAAAGTGGCCAGACTGAGGGGCCAGAGTAGATGTCTCTGAGACAGGTGTTGATGCCTGCCCAACGCCCTTCTCTTCCAGATCTCGCGCCACCTGGGCAAGATATACAGTGAAATGATCTTTGTCAACGGCTTTGTGCACTGCGACCCCCACCCCGGCAACGTGCTGGTGCGCAAGGGCCCGGACACGGGAAAGGTGGAGATTGTCCTATTGGATCACGGGCTCTACCAGGTAGGACCGGCCTTTCCCACCCAGCCAGGGTCTAGTCCTGCCTGGGATGAGAGTCCCCTGAAGGTCCCTATGGGCCACAGAAACAGGAGGCAGATGGCTGAGGTAATGGAGAGGCCTCGTCATAGCCCTATAACTGTCATTTGTGCAAGTCCCAGTCATATATTCTGAGCCTCAGCTATGTTCTTGGTGAAGTGAGGCTGGAAATGCCTTCTTTACAGATGCTGTTAGGAGTACATGGGAATGTGCCCAGATAGGTGAAATTGTTTTATCTGCTGTACAACAACCTTGCTTCCCAGGGAAGTTCAGGTCAGCCCAGACCCTGGTATGAGAGCTGGGACTTGCTAGGAAGGGTAATTCAGCCTAGTGATGAGGTGCTGTGAAGCATGAAAGGGGCCTCGGAACTGATAGAAGCTCTATCCTGTGGACGTGGGATGCAGAGCTGGATCAGATGAGCCACAAGTCCCGCCTGGAAGTTGAGAAGTTCACTGCCAATCCTGGGACCCGGGGCCAGGTTTTATTCTAGGAGACAGATGGTTCTTGGGGAGGCAGTCTCTAAAGTCTCCTGGTCCTAAGTCCCTTCCCTCAGGGTCTTAATTCCACATCCCAAAACCTTGGCCCCCTTTGAAAGGCTCTGTGGGTATGTTAGTTTAAGGTAGACCAGCTGCTGTCCTACACGTAGCCCCCGAACAAATGGTAGATCAGACACAGCAGGTGTCTAATGCTTGCTCATGTGTTGGTCTTGGGTGGGTGGAGGAGGCTGAAGGCAGGGGCAGGCTGAGGCTCTGCCCCCCAGCCCTCTCTCGGGTATTCTCACCATCTGAACCCAGAGGGATAAGAGCTTGGAGGAGAACGCATTGGCCCAGCTGGGAATGGAGTTTCTGCCACATTCTGTGGGTCAGAGCCCAGGCCCAAGGCCACATTTAACTAGGAGGGAGCCAGGGAATGTAATTTCTGCTACTTAGGACCAGGTTGGCCCAATAGTATTAATAGCTTTGAACTTGGATTGACTTTTGGGGGGAAGCAGATTTGCAGGAGCCACAGTCTTTATCCATCCCCCCTCATAGTGGCCACTCTAGCCTCCGGGACTAGGTCTGGCTAGAGAGAGGAGGCTCAAGTGTGGCCACGGTTGCCCCCATCGTAGATGCTCACAGAGGAGTTTCGCTTGGATTACTGCAACCTCTGGCAGTCGCTGATCTGGACTGACATGGAGAAGGTGAAGAAGTATTGCCACCGTCTGGGAGCTGGTGACTTCTATCCCTTGCTTGCCTGCATGCTGACAGCTCGCTCTTGGAATTCAGTCAACAGGGGCATCAGCCAAGCTCCAGTCACCGCCACTGAGGTAGGTGTTCCCTCCTGGCCCTGCCCTCTCCTGCATACAAGGATCCGGACCAGAATGGCCTTTGGACCTCTTCCTATCCAAGGTCTGAAGTTCTGTCTGCTGGCTGTGAAGGTTGAGAGGGTGAATAGAATTGGAGATACATTGGATAAGAAGGAGAGAGAGGAGGAAGAATAGAATCCCTGAATGGAAAGAAGGCAAGGGAGCTACATTCCACTCTTTTTTTAAAAAATTTTATTTTATTTTATTTTATTTTATTATTTTATTAATTTTATTTCATTTTATTATTTTATTATTTTGTTTTATTTATTTTATTTTATTTATTTTATATTTTATTTTATATTTTATTTATTTTATTTTATTATATTGATTTTTTACAGAGAGGAAGGGAGACAGATAGAGAGCTAGAAACATCGACGAGAGAGAATCATCGATCAGCTGCCTCTTGCACACCCCCTACCCGGGATGTGCCCGCAACCAAGGTACATGCCCTCGACCGGAATCGAACCCGGGACCTTTCAGTCTGCAGACCGACGCTCTACCACTGAGCCAAACCGGTTTCGGCTACATTCCACTCTTGACCTTAACCACCCGGAGTACGAAACAGGTCATGTTAACCATGAGACTAGAGTTCTGCAGCTTTTTCTCCAACCAACTCACACAAATTTCAGGCTTCCACAAAGTCCTCCCCAGGACTTCTGGGAATCCCCAGGGACTATCTGATAAATAAGTCTGCTGTCTCCTCCTGGGTACTGTCTCCCATTGTGTGGTCCCTCTGGGGCAGCCTATTGGGGAGAACGCGTTAGTTCTCATGTGATGCTGCTTGTCCCATTGCTCATGTGTCATTCTTAGGTGGGTGGAGGAGGCTCTGCTCTCTCCTCCTCCCTAAGACCTCCCTCGTAGTGGTCTGTGTCTGCAACCAGAGAGTAAGGACTTGGAGGAACATGGAGTTTTTAATGAAATAGCTTTTTGGTCTTTCTTTGTAGTTCATTTCTTCATTGGATCTAGATAGTAGTCCCCTGGTGTCTGGGCTGAGACCAATCCAAGTAGCACCTCCTCCCTGCACCCATTTTCACTTCTGCCCCCATCACAGGCACTTATGTGGCCACTCCTTCTTCCTGGTTCAGAGCTCCCTCCATCCCTAGTTTCTCAATCTGTCATGAAGTGGACTTCTGTATCCCCTGTCTGTCAGTTTGCCAGGTTTATGCAGTCTTGTCCATATCCATGTGGGGATGCGCTCGGGCTCACCACAAGGGGCAGGGTCCTGCTTGTGCAGTTAGAAAGACCTGGGTTCTAGTTCCAGCACCTGCTCTTCCTGGTGGCATGATTTTGGATAGTTTTTGTCACCTCTTGGAGTCTTGGTGGGGGAGGGGTTCCCCATAAGCTGCCTTGTGGTAGGTGGTTTTAGGAATGGCTGGATCCAATGTGTCAAACAATGTCACCAAAGAGGCCACCCATTGCTATCTCTTGGTTCTGTTTTCTTCTAAGTTGACATCATCCCCAGCAAGTGTGGTGGCAGAGATGACCACTGGCTGCTCTAGGTCTACACAGCTTTAAAGCTGGTCATTTCAGAAGAGGAGAGATAGTCTCCCTTCTCGATTGAATAGGGAGGATAATTTCTGCTTTACTGATAATGCCTGGAGAGTGCCTCTCCGTAGCTCCTGAAGTGCCTTCATTGAGCAAACATAGGTTTTCGCTGGGTCCTGGACTAGGTGCTGTGCATCCAGTGATGAGCAGTCTGTCTTTGTAATTTGTACTGTGGTTGAAGGAGATAAACAGTAAACATGTGAACAAGCAGGTAAATGGAATAATGGCAGATTGGAGGAATCAGGAGGAAACAAGCTTGTGATGGGATGCTGTCAATTGGGTGCTCAAAGAAGAGATCTCTGAGGACTTGACTTTTAAGCTGAGCCCGAAGGACAAGGAAGGCCCTGGCCACAGGAAGAGCTTGGAGAAAGCGTCCCAGGCAGAGGGCATATACTGTGCTATGATGGTCTGGGGGAAAGGAGAGCTTGGTGTAGTTTGGAGTGCGGTGAGTGGATGATGGAATGAGAAGAATTTGGAGCACTGAACAGAGGGAGCATTGCTCAGGGCCCATAAGCCATGGAAAAAGTTCAGATTAATTCTCAGTACAGAGCAAAGCCTTTGACAGGTTTTAAGCAAGAGAAGGAGATGCTCAGATTTGCTATTTTAAGTATCTCTCTGGAGCGGGGCAAGATGAACAATGGAGAGATTAATTAGGAGGCTGGGGCAGGACTTCACATTGGAGAGGTGCTGGGGCTCAGACTGTGCTCATGGCAGTGGAGGTGAAGAGAAGCAGAGGGAACCAGGAAGCATTTGGACTCAAGACTGAGCGGCTTTTCTGTTGGCTTGGATGTAGAGAGGATGAAAAGTGGCCTCATAGTTTCTTTACTTTCTTTCTTTTTCTTTCTTTATTTTAAAAAAAATATATTTTATTGATTTTTAAAAAAAAATAAATCTTTAATGTTCAGATTATTACAAATGTGATCCTCTTTCCTCCCTCAATTGCTCCCCTCCACCAGGTTCCCACCCCACCCTCTGTCCTTTCCCTACCTCCCATTGTCCTTATCCATAGGTGCAGTTTTTGTTCAGTCTCTTCCCACACCCTCACTCCCCTTTTCCCCGAGAATTGTCAGTCCACTCCCCTTCCATACCTCTGATTCTATTATATTCACCAGTTAATATTGTTCATCAGATTTTTTAATTCCTTTGGTTTTTAGATTCACTTGTTGATAGTTATGTATTTGTTGATTATAATTTTTATCTTTATCTTCTTCCTCTTCCTAAATAACCCCCTTCAGCAATTCATATAATTCTGGTTTGGTGGTGATGAACTCTTTTAGCTTTTTTTTATTTGTGAAGCTCTTTATCTGTCCTTTGATTCTGAATGATAGCTTTGCAGGGTAGATTATTTTTGGCTGTAGGTTCTTGCTATTCATCACCTTGAATATTTCTTGCCATTCCCGTCTGGCCTGCATGGTTTCTGTTGAGAAATCAGCTGAAAATTGTATGGGTGCTCCTTTATAGGTAACTACCTGCTTTTCTCTTGCTGCTTTTAATATTCTCTCTTTGTCTTTTTCTCTTGGAATTTTAATTATGATGTGTCTTGGTGTGGTCCTCCTTGGATTCCTTTTGTTTGGGGTTCTGTGCGCTTCCTGGACTTGTAAGTCTATTTCTTTCCCCACGTGGGGGAACTTTTCTGTCACTGTTTCTTCCAGTATTCTTTCGGTATCTTGCTCTCTCTCTTCTTCTGGAATCCCCATAATTCTGATGTTGGTTCTCTTGAAATTGTCCCAGAGGTTTCTTATACTATCTTCAACTTTCTGAATTCTCTTATCTTCTCCCTTCTGCAGAGGAGTGTCCTCTGGCTCTTTGTGTTCTAAATCTTTGTCTTGATTCTTGCAATCTTCCAGTCTGTTTTTAGGACTTTGTATAATATTTTTTATTTCAGATGTTTTATTTCAAATGTTTTCTTCATTTCTAGTTGATCCCTTATTATTTCTAGTTGCTCTCTTTTCATATCCTCATTGGTCTCATTTATTTTATCGGCCTTTTTTTAGGATATTGTTGAATAACCTTATAACTGTAGTTTTGAACTCAATGTCCAATCTTTTCTTTTCCTCCATCTTTTTCCTCTGTGTCTTTCCTCTTGTCTGCATTTTAGTTGTTTCCCTGAATTGATGAAATAGCTTTGTGTGCCAGGTGTTCTGGTAGACCCCAATAGCACAGCCTTCCCAGTTACCTGTGGTGGACAGTCTTGGTGTAGCCCTTTGCGGGCTGTGTGTGCAGTCCTGTTGTTAAGCCTTGCTAATTATTGGTATCACTGGGAAGCATTGATCTCCAAGCCAATTGGCTGTGAGGATCAGCAGTGTCTCAGCTAGGAGGGCTTCTGTACTCCGCTTGGATAGGGCAGGGTCTCGGGGTGGTGCAGACTATCTTTGGTTCCCTGTCAGTCTCATCTTAGAAAACTCCTGTTCGTGGAGAGTTTTGGAAGATTGGTTGCAGGCACATACATCTCTCAGACAAGCTTTGGATTCCGGCCAGTCCCTCCTTAGAGAAAGCCAGCTTCTGGGGGAGTTTCTGTGCTCAGCCACAGATGGGGCGGAGTCTCGGGTTGGTGCAGACAAACTTTGTTTTCCCTTCAGCTCCTCCCCACGTCCCGCAGTAATGGACTCTGGCTTCACGTACCTCTGAGAGATCTCTGCTCGCTGCCTGACAGTCTGGCCTCTCCCTGTCTGGGGCCGTCTATCAGAGCAATAGGGTGATTCTGTTTTCCTCTCAAACAAGAAAGCTAGTCGCGCGTTAGCTGTCCGCCCTCTCTGCGCATCGGGAGTATGCCAGCAGCATTCTCGGTCTGGCCCTTCTTCTCCACGCACCGGGAGTAAGCCAGCGCCTTTTTGCGCACACAGTTCTCCTTACCTTCACAGTTCCTGAGGGTCAGCGTGCCTTCTCTCTTCTTCCCAGATGGCAGAGCCTCCTCTCAGCTAGCTGTCCGGTGCTTCCGGGCAATGCCTCCCTTGTTTTTCAGTTCTAAATTCAAATTTGTTGTGGTAGGCTGCATTCGGGTGTCTACCCTATGCCACCAGCTTGGTTTTTTCCTATTTTATTGATATTTTTACAGAGAGGAAGAGAGAGGGATAGAGAGTTAGAAACATCAATGTGAGAGAATTATCGATCAGCTGCCTCTTGCACACCACCCCACTGGGGATGTGCCCACAACCAAGGTACATGCCTTTGACCGGAATCGAACCTGGGACCTTTCAGTCCGCAGACCGATGCTCTATCCCCTGAGTCAAACCGGTTTCGGCAAAAAGTGGCCTCATAGTTTCTTGGGGGTAAATTACAGGATGGGGAGGGTGGTTCCACTTCCTGACATAGGGAAGATGTTGGGAAGAACATATTTGGGGTGAGGGTACCAGCAGTCTATCAGTAATTCTCTTGAGCATTCAGATAGAGGTGGACAGTTAAACCTGAGCTCAAAGAGGCCCAACCTCAAGATATACATCTGTGAGTCCTCAGCACATAGATGGCATTTAACGCCACAGAATGGACAAGATCACATGGCACAGGCAGTAGTAAATGATATCTGTTTTTATTAACTGAGTTTGAATTTTATTTTTTCATTTGTTACTCATTCATAAAGGCCCAGCATAAATGCTAGTGTACTAAGTTGGCTTGGGTTGCCATAATAGAATACCACCAACCAGATGTCTTAATAGCAGACATTTATTTTCTCACAGTTCTGGAGCTCAAAGTCCAATATCAAGGTATCATCAGGATTAGTTTCTGGTGAGGGCTCTCTTCCTTGCTTGCAGATGGCTGCCTTCTCATTGTGTCCTCACATGGCCTTTTGTGTACACACTCCTGATCTCTCTTCCTCTTTTGGAAAGGACATCAGTCTTATCAAATTAGGACCCTCCTTATGAATTCACTTAACTTTACCTCCTTTAAGGCCCTGGCTCTAAGTAATCACACTGACATTAGAACTTCATCGTAGTGATTTGGTGGAGGGCACAATTCAGTCCATAGCACCAGCCGTGGAGGCCTCTCCTCATGCTTTTGCCAAAAGTGATCCCTTAATACTTGGATCACTCATGTGCCAGCAGCTTATACTGAGTCTCAGAGTTAGTTATTTGTATGTTTATATGGACTCTGACTAGTTGGTAAGTACCTGGAAGGCAGGCATCCTGTCTGGTACCTCTCTCTCTTAAAAAATATTTTGTATTGATTTCAGAGAGGAAGAGAGACGGGGAGAAATAGAAACATCAATGATGAGAGAGAATCATTGATCGGCTGCCTCCTGCATGCCCCACTTTTGGGATCAAGCCTGAAACCTGGGCTTGTGCCCTGACTGAGAATTGAACCTTGACCTCCTGGTTCATAGGTCGATGCTCAACCACTTGGCCATGCCCAGCCAGGCTGAGCATCTGTTTATAAAGTCTCTGCAGTTCTGGGACCAGGTCCAGTAGAGAGACGTTTGTGTAGGTTCTGGAGATGTGTACTCCATTTGCTCACTTTGGAAATAACCCTGATAGAGAATAAACATAGCAACTCTAGGCCAGCCCAGACTCTGAGATGTGAGGGCTCAGTTTTCTGAGTCCTAGTCTGACTTAGAATTAGGGATCCTCCAACATTGTATCAAGGAGGATGTTTTCCCAACCAGAAGTGGCTTAAACAATTAGGCATTTGCTCTCTCCATGACAAGCAGCCTGGAAGTGGGTGGGTCCAGCTTGGTTGATTGAGCAGGTCAACAGTCTCAGGGCTCTGGGCTGACTCCTCTGCGATTCTCTTGGCTTTCCTCTCATCATTCTGAGATGACTGTGGTATGTCCAAGCTGTGAATCTTATTTCTTTGGTGTCTAGAAGTGGGAATGAGGGCTATTTCTTATCACATATTGTTGTTTTTTATTTTTAATCTTAAAAAGTACTTTATTAATCCAAAGGAAAACAAAAACATGAGACAAATAGAAGTGAAATACCAAGATAGCTGATTTAAACCAAATCATGTAAATAATAACATTAAATGTAAATGATCTAAACACCCCAATTAAAAGGCAGAAATTGTCATGTCAGATTTAATACGCAAGATACAGCCATATGCTGCTACAAGAAACCATTTTAAATATCCTATATAATAAAAGCCTAATATGCTGTGTCATCTGGTCAGCCATTCAAAGAATCAAAGCATATTATGATAATTTTATGCTAAAGCAGCTCAATTGCTCGCTATGACGTACACTGACCAACAGGGGGCAGATGCTCCAACTGGTAGGTTAGCTTGCTGTTGGGTCACATATTGTTTCTTAAGAGCAAGGAAACTTTCCCCAGAAGTCCTTCAAAAGACTCCTCCTTGTGTTTCATTGGCCAAAATCATGTCACCTATCACACGCCCCTTGGCAGGCAGGGGGGGCATTGAGTTCAGAGCTGGTATTTGCTGAGATCAGCCAATAATTTGGCGCTAGGGAGGGGCTCTGCCTTCCTGAGGAGCAATGCCCCAAGGGGTCAAATGAACAAAAATGGGGTCCTTTTAACAAAGAGGAATGGGATATGGGTGGCTGTCGGATAGGTACCCATTGGGGACGTCTGCAGACACGCATCATCAGGATGTGTCCTGGCTTGAAGGCTGTGACCCCCCCCCCCCCGCCCCCCGCAAGGTAGTTTGGATGGACACAGGTGCCTTTATGTGGCCTGAGAGGGGCTGTCGTGGGGCAGTCTCTTCTTTGCTGAGAGGGGGATCCCTGTGGTGAGCAGGCTTTGATGAGGCTTTAGCCCTCCTGGGTGACCCGCAGCTGTGGTGGCAGGGGCGGCAGGCAGACAGGCTCTTGGTTTCTGGCAGCGCGGTGCGATGTTCCAGTCTGATAGCTCCTGCCTGAGGGACATTTCGAGTTTCACAGCAGCTTGGTTATCAGCAGTGCACACGTGTTCCTGAAAGGGCAGAGAGTCCCGCTTCTGCTGCAGAGAGCGGCCAGGCGGGAAGGTTTTTGGCAGCACTGCTGGGCCCCTCGTGACTGCGGTTGGCACCGAACACCTCCCCTTGCCTTATCTCTGATGCCCTCTTGGTATTGCTGAGAGGCAGGCACAGAGGATATGAGCAACCCAGCGTTTAGGTGGGGACACTGCTTGGAAGAGGTGAAAGGACTTGCTCAGGCTCACAGAGTCCGCAGTGAGTGAGAGGCAGTATAGCCTGGTGGTGAGGGCGTGGGCTGGGAGCTGGACTGCCTGAGTTTGAATCCCGACTCACCACTTACTAGCTGTGGACCTTGTTACTTAATTTCTCAGTGTCTCAGTTTCCCCTCTCAAAGTGGGTAATCCCCTTGCCTGATAGAGGTGTTGTGAGGATTTAATGAGTTAATATACATGTAAACATTTTCTTTAAAAAATATACATATTTTATTGATTTTTTACAGAGAGGAAGGGAGAGGGATAGAGAGTTAGAAACATTGATGAGAGAGAAACATCAATCAGCTGCCTCCTGCACACTCCTTTCTGGGGATGTGCCCACAACCAAGGTACATGCCCTTGACCGGAATCAAACCCAGGACCCTTGAGTCCGAAGGCTGACACTCTATCCACTGAGCCAAACCGATCAGGGCTACATGTAAACATTTTCAAAGTGCCCAGCTTACTGGGCAAATGCACTGTATGTGTTGGCTCTTGTCATTGTCACCATCATTATTGTTGTTTCTCTGGAGACTGAGGAGGGGTCAGAGCCTTACTGTCATACTCAGGACTCTGGTTGGGGGCTCTTATATGCCAAGTGCCATGTGAAGCTTGGGACAGGGAAGGGTGGGAAGTCAGATTCCAAATTACACACCAGAATGGGGTAAGGGCTATTGAACCCTGGATCCTGTTCTGGGGCATCAGGACCTTGGGCACTGGATGGGCTGAGACTGGCTCCCGAGTGGAGGACAGTGATAGGCATGGCTGTATGGGTGGCAGGGGCTCTGGCTGGGGTGCAGAGTCATGCAGGGCATAGGCACAACTTGGGAGCTGGGTTGGAGTCAGGACCTCAGACCAATGAACTGCACCAGCTTGGGCTGGGCTAAGGGATGGGGGACATGACTCAGTGGTACCAGCATCCAGGGCTCCTTCGAGGCCTGACCTGAAGTTGGTGGCCAGTGAAGAAGCCTTGGAGAGTAACTCCAGGATGGACTCCTGGGCTGAGAGGCTGGCACACTCTACCTTCATCAAATGGTTGGTGGGGAGGTGGATTTTCAGTTGGTACTGGTTTGGAGGCTTGGGGGATGGGTACGGTGACCTTGGGTATGGAGAGCTGGGACAGCAGAGGCAGCAGAAGTACCTGTAGTCCCCATTGATGTGCTCCAGTACTGGGTCCAGTACTTGGCCAGAAATTGGGGTAAGATGTCCCATCATGGTCTGTCAAAGCTTCTTGTGCTAAAGCTTCCCTTTAGGTGGGGAGAGGAGAGGGTTTCCAGTGGTACCAAGGCATGCTTGAAGCTCCCTCCTGGAGCTTTCTTGCAGGCCCTCAGGTCATGGGTTTGGAGACCCGCCATCCTGGGCTCCACTTCCCACACCAACCACTGCTGTTTCCCCGTTGCTGCTTTAGAACATCGAGATCCGCAACAACGCGGCCACCTACCTCCCCCAGATCAGCCAGCTCCTCAACCGCGTGCCACGCCAGATGCTGCTCATCTTCAAGACCAATGACCTACTGCGAGGCATTGAGGCCACTCTGGGCACCCGTGCCAGTGCCAGCTCCTTCCTCAACATGTCACGCTGCTGCATCAGAGCGCTGGCCACGTGAGTGTGGGCTCTGGCCTCTCCGCCCCTCCAGTTCTTTGGCTTGCCCCAGGAGTCCTGCTCACTTCCACTTTCTCCCAGAAACTCCCAGGGCCTTGCCCCAGTGTCTCAATCTCCAGTTCTCCCTGCAGGGAGTTAGGGGCTGAGAACAGCTCCAGTGAACTGGCTGATGCCTCAGGGTAGTGTTTTGGGTAGTCCAGAGAGCCACCTGCACTTGCTTCAATGGTGGTTTTTGGAACCTCACCCCCTCGGTCAAGCTTTCCAGATGATTCTTACCCTCAGCAATTTTAGTCCTATCCAGGCGTCCCCTGGGCTTGGGATCAGGTGCACATCCCATCTGGTTCCAGGACCTGCCTCCCCAGGAGGTACTGCGACTCAGGAAAGTGTCACCAGCAGACTATAGGCCCTCTCAGGATCTCAGATTCACTTACTCATTCATTTAATCCTCAGAGGATATTTGATTTTTAGAGAGTGGAAGGGCAGGGGAGACCCAGAGAGAAAGAAAAACAGATAAGAGAGAAACACATTGATTGATTGCCTCCCGCACACACCCAGATCTGGACCAGGGATGTGCCCTTGACCAGGAATTGAATCACGACCCTTTGGTGCATGGGCTGACACTTTAACCCCTGAGAAACACTGGTTAGGATGATATCAGACCTTTTTAGATGTCTCATAATCCTTGGGGTGTTGATGAGGAAGAGAAGGGTACTTCCTCAGGGAGGTAGGTAGCAGAGGAACAAGAGTCTTGGGCTCCTCTATCTGAGGGTGGCAAATACACGGGAAGACGTGTGTGTGTGTGTGTGTGTGTGTGTGTGTGTGTGTGTGTGTGTGTGTGTGTGTGTAATGTACTCACCTGAGAGGGGAGGCCTTGACTGTGGTCAACTCCCAGCCCATCCACCTCAGGCAGAGGAAGGGTCTTATTTGGTGAAGGGAGAGTTGATCACATACATCATGTATCCACTATCAAATATCACAGTAGATTATAGCAACATAGACTGTACACGGAAAGGGCTGAACATGATTCATTCTTCCTTCGAGGGTCCAGAAAACGAAGTTGTGAATAGGGCATCATCAGAAACTCCAGTTTTCATCATGTCCTTTTGCTGGCGCAGAGGGATTGAGCTGGGCTGCATCCACAATGGCTTCAGCCTCCTAGGACCACCTGACCAGGTTTTCAGGTGACCCTGAAACTTTCAGAAAGTTTGGGAGAGCTTTTCTATTTGAGTTTGGGGGATTATGGTTTGATAAATATTAACTCTATTTTTGGAAAAATGGGAGCATTGAAATATTGTACTTAGTGGGTCCACACGGGGCTTTTCTTATCTTACTTAGCTGGAAAACTCCTAGGAATAGTTGAGTTCCTCTAGTCTCTGGGCAATGGTCTGATCCACGACCAGGACTGGTCCATTGGGGCAGGAAGCTGGTGAGTTGGCAAAGCCATTATCTTATGTTTTTCTGAATGATCCTGAGTCTCTCTTTCCTCTTTAACTCTTTTTTATCCTTTCTTCTTGCCCCTCCTGCAGGCACAACAAGAAGAACACCTGTTCATACTTCAGAAGGACCCAGATCTCCTTTAGTGAGACCTTCAGCCTGTGGCAGATCAGCTTCCATGAACTCATTCTGCGTGCAAAGGCGCTGAGGCTGGCGAGCTGGGTCTTGGCCCTGCTTTGCTGGCTATTGCCTGCTCCACACTGAGTGGACTTTCTATCCCCTTCCCTTTTTCATTGTGACTCTATGGCAGGCACAGAGTCTTTCCACTCATCCTTTACTCCTGTCTCTACCAGTTGCCCTGTTTCTGTCACACAGTGGCCTGGAGTCCTCAGGTCACTGTGTGTGGCACCACCTTACTCCACCTCTGGAATTCCTGTCCCACCATAGTCCTGTTGGAACCACAAGCTGACCATGCAGTAATTTCTCTCCTTATCCAGGGAGATGGTACACAGTCTGCTTTCTGACTCGTGGCATGTGCTGTTGGGTGGGTTATCCCCCCACTTCCATTAGCCCTTCCTGTGTCAGGGTGGCCCATGAATCCCACAGAGGGCACATTAACTTGTAGGAAGTTTGAGTCTGCTGGAGGGAAGCAGGATCTCTGAACTTGCTTGAGACAGGTTCCCTCTCCTTGCCCTCACACTCCTTAGCGAGTGCCTTGGCCTCCAAGGCAGGCTGTGCCACAGCCATGGGTTCACTGCTGTGCTGGGGACCCCCTTGGGTAAAGAAACCCCTCTGGTCTTGCTCGGTGGGATTTTTAGTCTAGGTTGGGAGTGAATCCACTTTGGCCATTAAGCAGGAGCGGACCTGGACACCACGTGCCATTGTGTTCTGCCTGGCTTCTTGCCTCTGCATCGCCAGGTTGCCACTGTGGGGCCACTTCCTGCTTCTTGTAGGCTTCTCTCATCCTAGAAGATTTAGATCTCATTGGAGCTGTTAAGACGCCCAAGGCCCGGAACTCAGAGGCCCAGCTGAAATCCCTGGTTCTCACCGGGCACCTGCCTTGTTCTAATAATCGCTTCCTGACAGCCCTTTGGTTTATTGTGTGATGCCCCCAATCCTGGAGACTGTTGTCTGAACCTCACTTACTGTGGGTAGGGTTCTACTCTGAAACCTCTTGTTACCTGTCTGGACCCTGTGCTTTACTTTATTGCCTGAAGCCAGTCTGCCCCTCTCCCAGCACGAACATCTCCTATTTCTGGGACACCCCAAACTCCTGCTTTAACTGCTGTCCCTGTGTGTTCTCCAGGTGCTATTGGGTCAGATATCTCCCCACTTCCGTTAATTCCTCCTGTGTCAGGGTGGACCATGAATCCCACCCACACTGACACATTTAACTTGCAGGAAGTTTGAATTTGCTGGAGGGGAGCATGGTCTCGGAGCTGGCTGGAGACAGGTTCCCTCTCTTTGCCCTATCACTGTTCACAGCGATCACACCCAGATTCAGTAGGTCCTAGCTCTTACTGAGCATCCTTGCTCAAGGACAGTAATTGTATATGAGTCTCCGTGATTTAATTCACCCCATTCATGGGGCAGAGAATCCCCAAATTTGCGTCTTATTTTCTGTTAATACAACAAGCAGATTTTCCACTGACCACAGATGAGTCACAATCCCTTTATTTCCTGAAAGAATTAATTGTTTTTAGTGACTGGTTGGATGTGCCCAGGGGCCTGAGAGAACAATTTGCAGAATATGTTACTCATCATGAGGATACACATTGGATATTATATTTTATGGTGTCTTTTATAACCACTGAAGTAAATATGTTTTTGTTGTTCAAGATAATGGTTACTTACTTTTTATTTTTGGTTTAATGGTTGGCTTCCTGCTGGCCTGGGATGTAAAACATCAGCATGTTACCAGTGGATCCAGCACCCAGAACAGATATCTGCAGGAGGGGAGCAGGGTCTCTGAACTTGCTTGAGACAAGTTCACAGTAGAGAGTAGAGAGGTTGGGAGAGTTTGCAAATAGAAGAGGAGCAGGTTGGTGGTTATTAAGTGCCTTCCATGTGTAAATAAGTTCCATCATAGAATTGTCCCATCAGTAGGTCCTAGCTCTTACTGAGCATCCTTGCTCAAGGACAGTAATTGTATATGAGTCTCCGTGATTTAATTCACCCCATTCCTGGGGCAGAGAATCCCAAATTTGCGTCTTATTTTCTGTTAATACAACAAGCAGATTTTCCACTGACCACAGATGAGTCACAATCCCTTTATTTCCTGAAAGAATTAATTGTTCTTAGTGACAATTAATTCTTTCAGGAAATAAAGGGATTGTGTCCCAACTCTGAAAAGAAGAGGGATCATGGCTTCATCTTCCAGAGATTGGAACTGAGCTCAGAGAGGTTTAATAATTTGCCTGAAGTCACACAGCTGCTGAAGGGTAGTCCATTCTCTGTTTCTATCCTATAGTAGATACAGATAGCATCTGTAGATATGGTCACACTTGCCCCTTGGGCCTCAAATCCCTGATTTTTGGAGAATATTGGGTTTTCACTGGAAGTGGGGTAGTGGGTGAGTAAGGGAGACAAAGAGTCCTGTAAAATGCAGACTTGAGTTCAGCATGTCCCCCAGGTCCTAAGACAGGATGGACCTGGACTACTACACTCCACAGTGCAAACCTGACACTGAGTTACTGCAGACCCCACAGGCTTAAGGTCACGGTTCCCCATGAGACTCAAGCTGCAGGTTTGGAGGTCCCCAGGCCACCTGTGGTTCTGACCAACTGACTACAAATTTGGAGGCTTCCCCAGCCCTTCAACTCAGAAGTCACTACACTTGTGATTACAGTTTTATTATAAAGGATACAAATCAGCACCAGCCAAATGAACAACTGCATAAGGGGGTATCTGGAGGGTCCTGGTGCAGAGCTTCCCTGTCATCTCCTGTGGACTCAGCACCCAGCTCCCTCTCGGCACAGCAGTGTGTGCAGGGGCATCAGTGTTCAGAGTTTCTGTCAGGGGTTGTTACACTGGCAGGATTGATTGAATCACTGACCACATGACTGAACTTAACCTCCAGCCCCTACTCTCCTCCCCAGACAGATGCGGTGGGTATTGCCTCCATCCTGAGTCACTCAGTACAAACTCCAAAAGTGTGATGTAAGGGGCACAGCATGAAGATCAAAGATAACCCTGTCACTGGGAAATTCCAAGGAGTTAGAGGTTCTCTCCCAGCAACCAGGGACAAAGACCAGATAAATTCTTTTTTTTTTTTTTAAATAAGTTTTAATTAATTTTAGAAAGAGTGGAAGGGAGAGGGAGAGATAGAAACATTGATGAAAGAGAAATATCAATATGCATCAGCTGTCTCCTTCATTCTCTCTACTGGGGATCAAGCCTGCAACCTGGACATATACCCTGAATGGGAATTGAACCAATGACCTCTTGGTGCATGAGTTGATGCTCAACCACTGAGCGAAATGGGCTGGGCCAGATAAATTCTTTATTGGATGCAATCACTCTGGCATCTTTTCATCATGTTTGGAGGACGTGGAGAGCCTAGAGGAAGTCTGAAGGAGAATAGTGAAGATACAAAGGGATGAAAAATAAAGAAGCAATTATAGACTGGACAATAGAGCTGCACAAGAGAAAACAGGTGAAACTACTTGCTGTTATTGTTGGTTGGCTATTTTATATGCTGTTCTTTGGTCAAAACCATCACAGAGGCCCTGCCATTCTGGCTAGATGCCAGTTGTATGGATATGCTTTTTAAAAATAGTTATGCAAGTGCATTTGACTTAAATTTGTATTTCTAAAAGTTTATTGAACAGGCAGTTTTTACAAAAATTATTTTGTATTCCTACGGACTCTTTTCTTAGATATCTTACACTCATTAACTTTAAAGCTAACCAGTATTTAGCCATTTTGTCTAGATACTTTCCTCAAAATATAGCTGTCCTGGCAAGAAATATTCACGGTCCTAATTATAATCAATTGTTATGCATTGTATCATCTCGATCCCTTAACTAATAGCACATAGATTCCAGATAGAAACTGGTATGTATTAATTATTTTGTATGATGTATATCATTTTATGAATTAGGGACCTAGAAAAAGGATGATTGTTATAAATAATATGCCAGATTTGCCAATGATTGGTATATAACATCCTCAACTCATACTAAGATTCTGAGATGAGGTCCTGGTACCACCACTTGTAGCAAAATAATATTATATATCTCATGCTTGAACTGCATTAACCATTAGGAAGGAGACATTTGACTCAAAGTTTAAACAAGGAGACTGACTGGTGTGGCTCAGTTGGTTGAGGGTGGTCCCCTGCACCAGGAAGTTGCCTTTTTGATTCCTGGTTTGGGCACCCATTTATGTTCCCAGCACAATCCCCCATAGTGGGTGTGTAGGAAGCAGCTGATTGATATTTTTCTCCCATCAATGTTTCTATCTCTCTTCCTCTCTCTCTGAAATCAATATAAACATATTTTTTAAAATTTTAAACAAAAAAAACCTCCCACTGGAATGAAATAGACTGTTATTGGTAAAACTGATGAACTTTGACCTCGGAAAGTAGATAGGATTTGTCTGGGGTTCTAAAACAGACATGGCAAATATCTGGCATAGGGCTGCCACCCCCTACTATGGCCAATGCAAATTCCACAAATTGAACACTGAAACCTTTTGGGGTGAGCTGGGATATGGCTCCAGAATCCTTAACACACAATACTGGTCAACTGCTACTGAATGAGCAGAGTTGGCATGTTGCTAATTTTGCTCTCAAAATAGGATCCTTTCTTGGGATAGTAAAGGCTCTCCTTGATGAACATAGGAGGAAGAATAAGTTAACATGACAAAACTTTCCTTACTTTCTGGTGATGGAGAGGAGACATCTTGGGTTCACTTGGGCAGATTGATTTAAAGGCATTATGATGTCATTCCCTGGTTTAGAAGACTTTATGGACACTGTTTGGCCATGTTTTCTTTTGCAAGGAGTTTGAACTTCTGGGGTGTGGAAATCTGTATATTGGAACCAAAGGTGTTCAAGGCAAGAGCCTGATTTTCAGCAGTGTTCAGTGTGGGAAGCTGCAGCATCTAGGAGAGATCCTGGCAGGGGTAAGGGGGTAAGGGGAGGGAAGGTGGGGATCCAGAGACCTATAGATCACTTAAGGCAAATCTCTTCCTCCCTACCCTTTGATTTCTCACTGCAAAGCCAGGAGATTGAGTTAAATCAGTGGTTCTCAGTAGGGTGC